TTTTTGCAGTCAATGATTAAACATTGGACCTTTACGATTCTTGCCGTGTGCTCAGATTGGCCTTAATATCTTCCAGTTACTTGCTAACCACACAAAGGTGAAGGGCTGCGCCTAACCCCGTTTTGCAGATAGAACATTGTGTAATCCGCACTCTGCAGATAGAACATTGTGTAATCCGCACTCTGCAGATAGAACATTGTGTAATCCGCACTCTGCAGATAGAACATTGTGTAGTCCGCACGCTGCAGATAGAACATTGTTGTTAAGACGCGTCGCAGTATGTTTTAAATGGTCCAAAACAGGACCGATCTAGCGGTTGCAACAGATCAGTTGTGTGGGAGGGTAATTTTATGATAGTTATTTGCTGTTGTTTAGCAAACACAACTGTTTTGCAGCTAAGATGGGACACATATCCATCAACAATTAAAACCAGGGGGCGCTCCTGCACTTGTCTTGAGAAGTGATTGATCCAGTCAAAAAATATATCAGTGTTAATAAAACCACTTTCTGATACAGCGTAAAATGTTCCAGGGATATCCTCTTCCCCTTTCCATGTTGACCATAAGTTTACAGCTTTGAAAATGAAGAGAGGTGGCAGACACTTTCCTGCAGCACTGACACACCCCATGACTGTCGTATTGTCCCTACCTGAGCCCTGGTCGGTACGATGAACACCAGTTTGCTTATTGCCAGCAATAACACGAGCTCTGGTTGGATCTGGGCACACTCCCATTTCATCTAGATTATAAATTTGATTGGGCTTGTCAGTCATGTTCAGTGGAAACTTCTTCACAGTTGTCATAAAATTCATAAACTAGGAATGGGTTAGCAGTATTAGTCCTTCTGTTTTTCTCCAGACTTTCTGTGTTTTTCAAACGTAGTTGATTTCTTCTACAGAAATTAGTAAACCACTCTTTACCAGGAGTGTTATCCTTGAAACGATTTTGAATGGCATTTTCTTCACAATTATCTTTAACAATTTAACACACATTGTCCCTTGTGACACCATAGCCCCACTTTGCCAGAATTCTAAGATATTCAGCGAGATCACACCCAGAAAAGTATGTTCTTGATTTCTCCATGGACTTGAATTTTTGAGTAGAATTGTTCTTGATTTGAGCCAAAATACTTGGTATAAGAACAAAATTGTTCTTATACCAAG